TGTGCCATCTACTCTGAAACCACTGTAGGATGGTCTGTATACATGTCTGTACTCCATTAGCTTCGGGTCTTGTCACTCAAACCCGGGTCTGATCCAACGAGACTGGCTTCGAGGCACCCCTGAAGCCTCCAGACGAGCTGTGCGCGAGAAATGGAACTTAATGGAACTTGGCTGTGAGATGCTGTGACAGTCACAGGAATCGAGCCACAAACAAACTACAGATCTCTTTCACCGCTTGGAACCACCCATCTCACCCGGTCTCACCCGGTCTCCCCGGAAAGCCTTCGCGCCCCCGGCGCCCAATCTCACTCCTTGCGCCGGCCTGGACTCCCACTCCTGAAGAGCCAGTGGAGACGCTTCCAGCGTCTCGCTGTAGGCCTACGCCAGCGTCTCGCAGCGTCTCGCTGTGCGACACGGAGGACCAGGTCAGGGCACGTGACAACGTCCGGTTCGACTGGTGGCTTCGTCTGTGACGCCACTGTCCAGGTCTCAACCGCAGCAACCACAGGACACTACAACACCACTACGACACCACACACTGGTTCCGACCTTTCATTCAAACTTCCAAAAGCCGGGTGTGGGCATTCTCCTGACGAAGTAGTCCGAAACCGGGCGACAATGCAGAAAAACCGTTTCCAAAGCCATATATGGGCCATACGCATGCAGCAAACGTGCGCTTGGTCCTCTACTCCACTTCGGCGGCGGTCGTCTCCAGACTTCCGGCCGACCACCGGCGGTGCCACTCCGGTCGCGTTCGGTTTGGGTGCCTGGAGCATTTGAGAGCGAAAGCTTTGCCATGAGGCATCCAGAAAGTGGGCAAATGCCAGCTGCCTCTGCTCGTCCTCGATCCGCAGCAAAGTGGCGAAGGCCGATGGCCGGCGGAGGATGTTTCGTCATGTTTGGCCGATGGGCGAAGATCCCAAGAACGACCGATCTGTTACACAAACACTCCATGTATATGAACATACCTACATCAGGGTGGTTTGAGGAGTCAATGTATGGGTAAATATTCCAATCCCATGGAGTGCGTGGGCTCAAGTCCAAAGACGGGCTCCCGTCCCCAGCTCCATGGGAACCTCTTGGTTTACCTCGCTTTGATCTGTTCTTTGGTCGGGTTTTTGGCAAAACATGACATGTGACGTCGGGATGTTGGAACATGTTGGAGATCTTCTCTAGGAACACAACGATGGGGCTCTGAACAATCGAGAATAATCGATTCTGAATGAGTCTGAAGCAGTTTTGGGGGGGATTTGGGACATCTAGCCCTGTTCCAAAATTAAACAAGTGGACCCCAATTTACCCACTTGGCCATTGCTAGCAACTTGGGGGTTGCACCCCTTGCCTTGTGGCAAGTGATGACCTGTTGCAAATAGGTGTCAAAGCACCATAAAACGGAAAGCGTGCGAACAAGCCCGTACATGTCCCTCTGGGCACCCACTGACCGACAAAGCACTTGGGTCAGCATGGAAGCTACAAGTAAAGCGTGGTGGATTTGACATGAGAATCATACCAATGTCTTTGTCATGTTCCATCTTCAGATTTATATTCATCATCGCGGCAGTCTTCACTTTGGTTTCTCGTACTCCCCAGGTTTTTAGGTCGACAGTCTTCACCCGTCTGCGGCATTCCAACGGGGACTGGACTTCCAACGACTCCCATTCAACATGACATGTGCAGTCAAAGCGTGTCAAAATGTCCTCAATCACACCGTTGAGTTCCTCTTAAGGGGTGTAGAAACGTGGATGAAGTCTTTTTCCTTCCATCTACATGTCTACATCTATTTGTTGAGGATAAACCTTCTATCTACATCTATCTACATCTCTACATATTTCCAGTTTGTAAACCATCTATTTAAAACCACTTATTTGAGCTGTTTGCAAACTCGTGTTGAGACGGCACAGACACTGAATCTTCAACACCGAGAGTCCATCGAACTGCGGCCAGGGCTGAGCAACGTTCAAACGGCTGGACTCGCTTTGCGAGAGCCGTGGGGTTGGGAATCGAAGAGGCTTAAGAGTCACAAGATTGAAGTGAAGGATTCAGTTGCTGGGCTGTTGTATAACTCCATGTTTCTTGGAGCCCACAGGCATCCATAGGCTCTTCCAGCGAGTGACCTATATGGTGGGAGCTTTTCTAGACGGCGCTCAGCCGCACCGAAAAGTTTGAACCCTCTGGAACATCAGGCGTTCAGCCGCTCTGCCAACGGATTCCCCCACGAACTTCGAACTCCGTTGTATCCTAATCCATGCACCCCGAAGATCAGATCCCTCATTGGCCGCTCAGGTTGATGGACTCAAAAGGATGATGGAAGGTGGGGAGAGCCTCTGACGATGAGGAATTTCTAGGACAGGTCCGACAGGAACTCATGGTTTACTTGGCTTATCTGTTGGCATGCCGAATAGACAATGCTCAGGTTTGTTTTAAACCTGGAAAAACAGCTGCAGAGCGTTGAGGAAACAGTTCAAAGCCATCGTGCACCACCCTGCTCGTCAGTCTTGGGTGTTCCATCGTTTCAACATGTTTCAACGCTTTTCTGAAAAGAAAGCAGGCCTACACCAAATGTTTGGATATGTTTAGATACATACTCATCCTAAAGTGGTCGCTATTGTATACTGTATATGATTGTTATCTTTATCAGTAAAGTATGTGTTAGCTATTGATAGATATTCCTATTCTATTGGTTTGTGGGATCTACTCTGAAACCACTTCAAGACCTGACTTGTCAGTCTTGACCATGCTGGCCCAGGGGACTCCGAAGGGCACGCGAAGCTCCCTGTGACTCAGCTCAAGTGGGCAATAACTGGTCTGCCAAATGGTGTAATGGTCTGCGAATGTCAGCGAGTCAAAAACATGGAAAGGCCAATCAATGCTAGTGGATGTCCATTCAATCATCAAATAGTAAAACAAACACAAAAACCTGGCAACGTTGACAACCACAGCATGGCCGCAGCATGATACGCTTCCTTTCTTTTTCGCAAAGGATTCGCTTGGATTCACCTTCAGGGCCCAGGCCGGCCACATCTTTTGGCCCTTAGCAACAAAGCAAGACAAGATCCGAATGGGACTGCGGATCCATAGAACCAGGTCTATAACACTTTGAGGGGTCTTGGAGGCGCCTGGCATGAAACACCTCTTGTCCGACAGCGTGTTTGAAGTTATAGTTAGCTGCAGGCATCTCCCTTTCATTAAGAGTCAGCATCGATCTTTTATCAAACTCAATGGCCTCCTCAAACACTACAGTATCAGTAGGATACAGTATATAGCTATGTCGAGACGTCCAACTGCATGGCAGTTCTATGCAGTACTACTTGGCAGCCTCGAAGCAAACTGGTCAGATCTGGCGTCTTGCTCCGCAAAACCCAAGCAAGACTCCAGTCTTCTGTGATCAAATCCTGATTCATCAGCAAAAATTGACTTGAACATGTCCGCTCAAGCTGCTTTCATCCATCCTGGTCCCGAGTCTATCGATTCGTTTTAAGCACCTCGACGTGGCCCAGCACATGCAGCCCCGGCGCCCTCGAAGGTGTCCGCATGAGCGGATCTCGCTTGGCTCGCACGAGCTCTGAGCCCAGGTTCGGAAACGCGCGCGGAAGTGACGGAAGTGACTCACCCGGTGCAATGGTCGGTGGTGTTTCAATTGAAGACTTCCCAGTTTGCCCCCACTCGAAGAAGGAACAGCCGGCAGGTGTCTCACCCAGGCTGTTCGTCCACACCCATTTGATCCATTTGAATCAATTTGACCCACCTGGCAAAGGAGATGGTCCCCGTATGTCCTCGTCCAATGAATTCAGTTGGATAGACCTCGTAGGCCCGAGGATAGACCTTGTCTTCTCTTTCTGGGCGGATCCAAACGGAACCAATTTTGGAGAAGGATCAGGTTGCAATCAGAACGAAACATCACAATGCATCTCGTTATTTTTGGGAAGTCTCCTCAGGTGGTCATTGGAAGAGAGGTCGAGGCCCACAGTTTCAATTTGGATTCATGACGCATGCATACGCCGCCCGCCAGTACCATCTGGTTCCAGCACCATTCTACTTCGAGGATCGAAGAAACAACTCATGTAGCATGCATACTTGAACTACAGAAAAGTACTGCATTCAACTAAAAAACATACATAAAAATACACAACAACGTTCTTGTCTGATCTGCAACAAACACAGTCGAACAGTACCAAATCAAATGAAATTGTCTACACGCAACCCCCAACCATTTCAAACACCCTCATAGGTTCCATGATGTTCCATCCTCCCGGATGGATAATGAATGATCGTGAAATCCATCACAAGGTCATTGGGTGTCATTGGACCCTCCCAACTCACGCAAACAAACTCAAAGACAACAAATTCCGTGGATCACTCGAGTCTTCCGCTCGACGCGCGAGGAGGGTGGTGCTGATCGCCAAAGAAGTTGAACACGATGGGCGAGTCGGTGTACTCAAAGATTCGGGTGTAGAAGTATGGCAAGTAACTGGCAAACACTGGTGGCAGCTCCAAAAACATCAGAGCTAACAAACACTTCACTTCGAGTGAACCCCACCATGACATTTCAGTCTGACAAAATTCCTGGCATGTATTGAAACATTATCTTCTGACATTATTTCTCGCATATCTTCTGACATTACTTCCGGCATATCTTCTGACATCTTCTGACATTTGTTAAACTTTTTGGCATCTCTTCTGACATGCTTTCTGGCAAATCGTCTGACATTCTATCTGGCATATCTTTTGACATGCTTTCTGGCATTCTATCTGGCATATCTGCTGACATTCTTTCTGGCATATCTTCTGACGTTCTTCCGACAATCTTTCTCGCATATCTTCTGAGATTCTTTCGGGCGTATCTTCTGACATTCTCTGTGGCGTATCTTCTGACATTCTTTCTGGCGTATCTTCGGACACTCTTTCTGACTGCCATCCAGAGCTGGCGGTTGAGGTCCGGCGGGGAACACTGCAATCCTGCACTTGCGGTTGAGGTCCGGAGGAGGAGGAGGAGAAGGAGGAGGAGGAGGAGGAGGACGGCAACTGACATAAAATCCAACAACCCTCACCTGACAAGATGGAAAAATCAAACATGCTTCTCCAGTGCTTCTGCTGGGACATGAAAGCACAGTATATATGCACTAGAACTGGTAGAAACATGGAACGGCCGCCAGCTCTTCTAAGAGCCCAGATCAGGGATGTGTCAAGTTCATGGCATCTGTTTGTCTACTTCAGGTTTGAGTTTGATCAATTTAGAGCCCTTAACACGCTGCTTACGGCATTGATGATATTGATCTCTCTCCTCAGTGGCACAAACCAGATTGACTAAACCAGCAAGCAGTCTGCTGCGCAATCTGTGGCGCAGTTTCAGGGCCACCCCAAAGATCCAAAAATGAAATCAACCATGTCTTGGACTAATTCAATGCTATCTTCTATCTATTTTGCCGATGACTAGAGTCTAGAGCAAAAACTGACTAGAGAGGAGTTCAGCAAAATTCCGTTCGACTTGGAACCGTGAAACTGTCCATAAGTCTGACCACAAAAAAATATGAACACCCAAAACAAAACGAGCACCAAATCATGAACCTTTGCTGGCTGTACACAGTGTTGATCATTCGACTCTTTAAATACCTTTTCAACCCACCCAGCTTGCGCTGCAGCCCACCGCTTGCCCTTGGCCTGTAGGGTTCCACGCTCAGCTTCATGGCCGCTTTCACCGCCTGCGCTGCACTCTTCCTTGCGTGGTCCACCTCAGCTGTGGCACGGCTCTCGAGCGGCTAGAGTCGTGGAGCAATGAATTCATGACAGGCGTCTCCCAAGCATCAATAAAACCCGGTCTGCCCTTTCTGATGAGCTGGCTGGGCTGGCTGAAGCCTATAGACTAGTCTCTGCTGTTTCCAGACACATTGTGCAGTTGGGATGCCTTGTGTGGACTCTCTTTGTGCGTGCAACCCGATTCAGTCACGCTCCAGGCTGATATCTAACTCGGCCAAAGGGCCCAAAGGGTCTTTTGGCGTGTGTCCAGGTGACTCAACCCTTCGTGGAGGAGACACTTGTTTTCATTCCACGAAAAAAACGATAAGAAACGTGTGGCCTGGCAAAACTCAAGCCAAAGTCCACCAAAGTCATCTTCCATTCACCGAAGTTCATTTGCAAAAGTTGGTACAACAAATCAACAGAAGGGGCACGTCCACGAGTCACTGCGCTTGGTGCCCCTTTGGCGTCGCAGTCCCAGCTTGGAGGAGTTTTCAGGGAGCTTTTCGTCGTTGCCGCCAGAAACAATCCACTGGGACCACTGGAACTGCTATGGACCACTTCTGAATTTCTCGTGTTGGCAAAAACAGACCATGTCAGTTCAATCTTCATCTTCTCAGTGAACTAGAACATCCCAGAACGTATCAAGCTGCAGTTGTACGTGTAATCATACAACTCTGTTTATAACTACATGATTGTATGTTCACATTTATATACATACGGTATATACTTATCGGTGTCTTCCACCGTTGTTGGCCAATTCTCACTTGAGTATACCGTCCACTGCTCAGTCTGGAGCCCGTAGGAACCCGCACGTTCTCACACCGCAACAAACCGCCGTAGCGGGAAGGGAAGGTTGCAACGTCCCCTGGCAACTCCGGTTTTGGATGGCGAGTCCAATTCCCAAACACTCCATGTAATATGGAATGGATATATATATATATAAACATTATGTATTAAGCATTCTATATATATATATACGCCTACATTGACCCGGGGATAACTACCCCAGTATCAGCATACGACTGCTCACCTCTTGGGCCCTTTAAGTTGCGAGTGCGCCGCTCTGGGTGCCAGTGGCTAGCTGTTGAGGTGTTTGATGTCATCCGCATCGCTCCCCAGTGGCTGGTCAAACTCCCTGTTTGGAAGCTAGGTATGCACTGCTGGAAGTAGACACATGTGCCAACATGTCAACGAGTCAGGACCGGTTGGTCAAGAGAGCTGCTTGCTAAAGTGACAGTGATGCAGTGCAAACGCTGCTAAAGTGACAGTGATGCCCGGCATTTTGAGGAGAAACACAAACACAACTCCTCAAAATGGAACTAAAGTTGAGAACCCCATTTGAGTCACCATGATGTCTATAAGGCTTTATTTATGTCTGTGGAACTCAACTTGTAGGATCGTATAGCATCCTGAAACCTGGAAACACAATGACCATAATGACCATGGTCAATCCGTGTAGCCCAAGAAAGGCCTGCTAGGGCACTGCGAACCGTGTATATATATAGTTATATATATATATAAGGAAGCTGTTTACATTGACAATTTTGAGCGGATGTTCTGTCCATAAGAAACCAACAAACATCTTAACGGTTGTGGGCGACATGGCCAACTTTCCGAAACCCACACAGTTGGAGTCCTGTACGAACGTCCGCAAATGCGGCGAACGTGAGAAACCGTCCAGCCGGACATGCCAGTTGGACCCACCGCGTAGACGTCCGGATGCGAGGTTTGCCTCGCGATGTAGTGCCGACATCGATGTCGACATCGGCTGCTGGATGGGAAGAAACGTTCGGTGCCAAGTCAAATGGGAAAGAATTTGGGAAGACCCGCTGGGTCTTTCGTTCCTCCTTAGATGTTCTTTTGTCTTGCAGAACGGACTCACTTGAGGAATCAACTCTTGGGCATTTTGCCTTTGGTGGCCATGTGAGATGCAAAAGGCAAGGAACGCAGTGGTACAAATTACAAACAAAATGAATAAGAACAACTGCATAAAGAGCCAGTATGAGAGCAAACAATGCAGAGATGTAGCTGGAAAAGGCCAAGCTACATGCTCCATACACCAAGCACGCCAAGCCCCACTTGCGCATGCTGCGCCATGCCCCACGGGGGTCTCACTCCGGGACTGACCCGGTCAAAGACGGGAACTGCGACACTTTCCCCGACATGTTCCCCGACTGCTTGGCTCCCTGACTCGGACTCCGCCGGAACTTCCCCTGGATCCTAGTAGCTTCTTGCTCCTAGTAGTAAGGCCAGGAGCCCCTAGTAGCGTCCTTGCTCCTAGTAGTAAGGCCAGGAGCTTTCAGTAGCGTCCTTGCTCCTAGTAGTAAGGCCAGGACCACCCTAGTAGCGTCCTTGCTCCTAGCACCCTAGTAGCGTCCTTGCTCCTAGTAGCAAGGCCAGGAGCCGTAGTAGCTTCTTGCTCCTGGTAGTGAGGCCAGGAGCCCCTAGTAGCGTCCTTGCTCCTTGCTCCTAGTAGTATGGCCAGGACTACCCTATAGCGTGCTTGCTCCGTGTAGTAAGGCCAGGACCACCCTAGCAGCGTCCTTGCTCCTGGCCAGGAGCCCCTAGTAGCTTCTTGCTCCTAGTAGTATGGCCAGAAGCCCCTAGTAGCGTACTTGCTCCTGTAGTAAGGCTAGGACCACCCGAGTAGCATCCTTGCTCCTATAGTAGTAAGGCGAGGACCAATGTAGTAGCGTCCTTGCTTCTAGTCGTAAGGCTAGTAGCTTCTTGCTCCTAGTAGTAAGGCCAGGAGCCCCTAGTAGCTTCTTGACCCTAGTAGTAAAGTAGCTTCCTTGCTCCTGTAGTAAGGCCAGGAGCCCCTAGTAGCGTCCTTGCTCCTAGTAATAAGGCCACGAGCCCCTAGTAGCGTCCTTGCTCGTAGTAGTATGGCGACGAGCCCCTCGTCCTTGCTTCTAGTAGTAAGGCCAGGAGCCCCTGGTAGCCTCTTGCTCCTAGTAGTAAGGCCGCGATCCATTCTTGCTCCTAGTAGCGTTGCCAGGAACCCCTAGTAGCGTCCTTGCTCCTGGTAGTAAGGCCAGGAGCCCCTAGTAGCGTCTTTGCTCCTAGTAGTAAGGCCAGGAGCCCCTAGTAGCGTCCTTGCTCCTAGTAGTAGGGCCCGGAGTTTGTAGCAGAGGAAGGCCTTACCTTCAACACTTTCGAAACCAGGTTTCAAAAACCAGAGCCGCTGTAGAGCATCTGTAAAACGTGTTTTTGGGTCAACTCGCATTGCGGCGCTTTCAGGTTGGCCGGACACTGTGGAACGCCGGCCCCGCTCGCTGCTTCAACCGCCGATATGTTACGATCATTGTCGTCGTCGCTATCCATCCTCAATGACAACATCATTTTTTTCGTCGCACTCATCATCGTCAACATCATCACCACCAACATGGTCATCATCAATGCAGCCATAATCTTTGTCACCGTCATCGTCATCATCTCCGTCATCATCATCAGGATCGTGCGGCCAAGCAGCGCTTCCTCGATCCCTTGCCGCTCTTCTTGCTGCTGCGCTTGCTGCTCTGATTGCTGGTTTGCTTGCTGCTCTGCTTGCTGCTCGGCCACGCGCCAAGTCCCTTAGCTAGGGCCCCCCGTCACTATACCCTGGGTTTTTTATTCCAGACCCCTTTGACATCGACTTCCAATACCTTTATTCCAAACGTCAAACCATGGCTGCAATAATTTTCCACTAGGTGCGCGCAAAAGTTTAAGACACAGATTGGATTTTGAACAAGTTCTGTGATGCTGGCGTTTTTGTTGCATTTTTTGGTATCTACAGGATGTTGACTTGACAGGAGGTCCAGATAAATTTCAAGTTTCTGTAAAGCAGAGGGTCATTGTACAGGCAAGTTTTCAGCAAATATTTTGAGCGAGGTTTGTGAGCGTTGTTTTTTGCTTGCGACTTCTTAAGGGTCTTTTTGACCTAGACCTGACAGAGGTTTAGATAAATTTCAAGCTTTCCCAAACAGAGGCTCACGGCACAGGTGATTTTTCAATATAATTTTGAGCGAGGTCGGTGATCTTAGTTTTCTGATGGTGATTTTTGATATCTACATGACAAGTTCTCAACCGCCAGTCCGATGCCAACAGACATGGATACAAACAACCTGATATAACATTAAAATGAAAAATAGGAAGAGTGGGCAGGAAAACTGGACTTGAGAAGAGGGACACACGAAAGGTAGGACAGCCGGAGGAGAATAAGCATGTAAAATATGCAGTGTGGTGTTGGTGGAGTCGAATCAAACGTCAACTTGAGAATGAGGGAAAGATATAAAAACAACGACGACAAGAAACACTAAAAACCTCAACGACCAGAAGCCCTAAAAACAATATGTCATGTCTCTTCATGGACTCAAGCACTGCCCCAAGCTTACAGTGCTCAACGACAAATAACCATCGAGGTGTCGAGGTGATCCACTTCGGGATGAAGCTGTCAGGAGGGAGGGGTGACACGAAGTGCAATGCAGTGGATTTCCTCTGGAAAGAATCAGCGAAACCATGTTGGTACGCAGATATTGGGTACATAGGCGTTTTTGACCGAGAAAAAAGCACACATCTCTTTTTTCACACCGTTTCACACATTTCAGCACTTTTTCACACTTATCACTTTTTAGCATTTTTAAAACAGAAATCAAATCATAAAATACTTGTTTGAATTCAATTTTGACTGTGAAATTTGTGACAACAGAATTGAACACCACCATTAGCAACTCTTTCATGACCACTCACCACTGTCTTTGCCGCGCTGCAACGCAAAAAAGTCAAGAGTCAAAGAGTGAGACTTGAGTGAGACAGCTGTGTCTTAGCCTATGAAACTATGACCATGTCTTTGTCTATGACTTTGACCTTTCTAGCTTTGACTTTGACTTTGTCTATGAATTGTCTATGTACTATGAACCTAGTACTTTGACTTGGTCTATGAATCAATCTATGACTTTGACTTTGTCTACATCAAATCTCCGAGAAGTGGTCCACACCTGCAGAGGCTTGCAAGTTCGAGCTCCAAGCCAAGTCAATGATAGATCGCCAGACTGGCTGAAAGCCAAACAGTGGCCATTGATGAAAACAACCAATGCCACTCACAAAGGCCACTCACACAGGTCCAGCCTGACAGCAGAGAGTCAAAGAAAAGAAAACAAACTGAAAGCTCAGGAACCAAACCAAGGCTGTTACCTCTGCCAGTCCAATCCCTTCATCCACAAATCCTCATCGGCCTGACTGGCTCAATGCAAAGCCTCAGAAACATACAGCATGGGCACATGAATTGAGTGAACACAGACATGAACAAGTGCCAAAAATGCTTGCTTGCAACAATGACAAAAACGCTTACGCACACAATTGTAAGCCACACACACACACACTCTCTTGTAACACTTTGAATTACAGGGTCAAAGACATGTTGCAAGCCACTCTTGGCTACAAAGACCCTACATTGGAGTGATACACCTTGGAGATCTCTTCACAAAGGAGTTCAGGGTAGTACCCGCTTTCTGTGACAATCTCACCCTTTGCAGTGAAGGTTTGGCAAGTTTCATGGCCACCTTGAACAGTCAAGGAATCACATTCCTCAGCAGTCCAGGCAGGCTTCTCCCGCGCCAAGGTGTCAAATCTCTGAGAAGTGGACCACACTTGCAGTGGTTTGCAAGTTCGAGATCCAAAAGCTCCGTAGAGTCCTTGCTCCTAGTAGTAAGGACAAGAGGTTTTTAGTCAGCTTCTTGCTCCTAGTAGTAAGGCCAGGAGCCCCTATTAGCTTCTTGCTCCTAGTAGTAAGGCCAGGAGCCCCTAGTAGCGTCCTTGCTC